TAAAAATCAGCAGGAATTACGTGAAAATGTGAAGGAAACAGCGTGATTTCCACCTGGGAACAGTGTGGAGAGCAGAGGTGACAGTCTGCCAGTACCAGAAATGCAGCACAAGAGGAAGGGATTATCCCATTGCTGCTGCCAAGGGGAGAGAGGACAAGAACTCCCGGTCCTGAAACACAGCAGGGAATATTTAGATGGGAATTTGGGACACCGAATTCCCCAAGGCTGGCACTGGAGGAGTTCCCCCTCAGGACACAGCGCTGCTCCAGGGGAGGTTTTAGGGGCAGATGGGACTGCTGGCACCAAGGCTTCAGTGACCCTGCAGGGCACAGGGTGTGGGACAGGAGCTGGGCATCGCTCCACTCCTGCTTCCCGGGGGATTTGAAGTGCCAGCTGTGAGCACAGCGTCCCCGAGGGGCAGGGACACATCAGGGCAGGCCACAGCCAGCAGCTCTGTGCAGCCAAAGGCTTCCAGAATCGGGCCCGGAAAGCCAAAAAAGGGATTTCTGCACACAAGTGGAGGTGCCAAGGCCATTGTGCAATGGCAGCTCTGCCAAAGTTCACGGTACAGCCCCTGGGGACAGAGGGTGAGCTCGGGCAGCTGAAAATGCCCCAAATAATGCTCCAAATCACCAACATTTCTGCAGTGGCTGCTTCCCAGTGGGGCCCTTGGCTCAGTGCTGGGCTGGGCTAATGGCCAGGAGAGGTTCCTGGCCCTCCCAGCTTGTGCCTGGATGGCCTCGGCTCCTGCAGCCGTCAATTTTGGTGGCCCAAGCTCATAAAATTTGCAAGGCAGGGAATACCCAGGGGGGTCTGGGCCTGCAGCCCTGCCTGGGCTGCTCTGTGCTCTTTGCTCCTTCATCGGGGCCACGCTGGCTTCTCCCAGACATCTGCTGTGCTTCCAGTGCTGGGGACATTCCCTGGGTGCAGCAGGGAGGGGAATCGGATCCCAGAGCTCTTTGTTTCCCGGGAAGAACCTCCCCTTGCAGTCCTACAGGACACCACAGCTTTTAGGAGAATGTTGAACCAGGTTATAAGAATATGGTTTGTAGGGTTATGTCAGCTATCTGCTGACAGCTCCGAAAAAAAATTGTAGTTTTTAATTGGAATCTAGAAAATTCAGGATAAATTCAATTTTTGTTGCTTTCTTAGTACAATTCATAGAACTTTTTCTGCCATGAATCTAAAGTTTATACCTTCGGTACCCAGAGAAGCTGTGCCTGGAAGAGTCCAAGTCCAGCCTGAATGAAGCTTGGTTTAGGTTGGATATTGTGAAAGGTCCTTCCCCCAGAGGTGCTGGCGCTGCCCGGGGCATGGGCACGGCCCCGGGGCTGCCAGAGCTCCAGGAGGGTTTGGCCAGCGCTGCCAGGGGTGCCAGGGTGGGATTTGGGGGGTCTGGGCAGGGGCACTGGATGATCCCTGTGGGTCCCTTCCAGCTCAGGATATTCCATGGTTCCTGTTGCTAAAGCAGTGCTAAAGCTTATTTTCATCTTTGCAAAGTGCTCTGGGATTTCTTGGTTACAAAGAATTCCTGAAGGGCCAAATGTTTTCACTCCTGGGCGGTTTTCAAAGCACGAGGGGAGCCACAGCCACCAGGAATGTTCCGTGTGCACGTCCCAGGAGAGGAGCTGTGCGGGAAGCCTTTGGTGCACAGAGGGTTTGGGGATTATTTTGGGGTTTTTTGTTGTTCCCTGACGCTCTCGTGACACCCTGTGGGCTTCCCCCTGTACTACTGCAGCTGCACAAACAGCCAGGAATCGCACTCTCGTCCTCCCCCGTGGCTCTTCACTTCTGCCCCTGCATTTTTCCCGGTGACTTCTCCTCCAGGCTGGTCGCTGATGCGGCTGCCCTGCATCCCTGGCAGTGCCCAGGCCAGGCTGGCAGCTCTGGGACAGTGGAAATGTCCCTGCCATGGCAGGGCTGGCACCGGGAGGGCTCGGAGCTCCCTTCCCACCCCAACCCCTCCAGGATTCTGTGCCTCTGCGAGAAGAACAGTCAGTGCTCTGCCAAGCTGAGCTTCTGACTGAACCTTGGATGAAAGCTGAGGCTGAATTTTATTGGGAATGTTTTCCCAAATGACAGCAGCAGCAGCAGAGGCAGTGCTAGAGATCTGACTGACACGTCGGGTTTTAGCTTTTTATTTTTTTCAGATTCTGTGCTGCTTTGGTCTGTGGGTCTGGGTTTTATATTATGGGATAGTGAGCTCTCTGCACAGAGCAGGGAGACAAAACAATTCCTGCTCCAGCTGGGCACCAAGGACAAATGATCCAAATCTCAGCCCAGGAGCACAAACACTGTGGAATGAAGAGAGGAAAAAAAAAGAAGGATGGGACTGATGGGCTGGAGCTTTGGTTGGACAATTACCTCCAAATGGACAAAATGGACAAAACTTATAAAAATGCTCATGACCAAGCCTGTGGCATTCATGTTCTCTGGACAGAGACACAATTCTGTCTCTCAGGAGAAGCACAGAGAGGAGAAGAGAAAACAATCTTTATCTCTGCTCCTTTGTTTTGCCCATGTGGGATGTGGTTGGAGATTGTTCACCTGCAGGGATGGCTGGGTTGAAGTTGTCTGGGGTCAGTGGCCAATGGATCCAGCTGTGGCTCTCAGCAGCTGGATTGGATTCTGGGGAAGTTGTTTGGGGTCAGTGGCCAATGGATCCAGCTGTGGCTCGGGCTCTCAGCACAGAGTCACGAGTTTGAGTTACTTAGGTAAGTAAGAAGTGAGTATGTAGAATAGGAAAGTATCTCTTTAAATAGTGTATTAATGCAATATGGTATCGTTTTAGTAAAGCTGTCCTTCAGCCTTCTGATCTGGAGCAGACACCATCACTTGTCCCCTGAGTCGGGGTCACCTTTTTACTGTACAAACCCTCTTTGCTTCCCCCTTGGAGCCCTCTGGGCAGAGCCACGGCCGTGGCCGTGGTGCTGCCAGGGTGTGGCTGTTGTGTACAAATCCATTTCTTGCTGTTAACTCTGCCCAGGGCACCCTGACCGTCGCTGCAGCTCAGCAGCGGGACCCGGCAGGCTCGGTGGCAGGCGGGACAGGGCAGGGGCACAGCCTGGGCACACCTCCCGTGCTGCCAGGGAATGCTGTGTGCAAGGAGGGGAAGGCTCTGAAGGGACAGCAAACTCCCAAGGGTGGCAAAAAGGGAGCAGGGACCTGCCAGAACAGCCCCACGCTGCCAGGGGCAGGGGAGGACTCTGAGCACTCCAACCCAGCAGCGTATTTTATGATGGCTTTCTGCAAATATTACAATGAATATATTGTATGTGTGACGCTAGAAAGTTATGCTGTATTAATTCTCTTAAATAGTGCGTTAAATATCGTTTTAGGTTCCAAAATAATGTTAAAATAGAGACGATGTATGTGGAGGGAGCTTTTTTTTTTTTAGAATGAGATACTTACTTGAAAGAACACCTAAATGTTCCAAAGAAAAAGAATTTATCATTTTCTTATCAGAAGAAGCTATTTCTTCAGGCCTTGCTCAGACTTGAAGACACCAGGGGATTAAAGGAAACAGTTGACATACAACGGACAGAGTTTCTTGTTTTAAATAGAATGTATGCATAACCATGAAAAATATATGAATATGCAACAAGTGTATTGTTTTAAGGTTTTTCCTTTGTTCACATTTCGTGACTTAGTGTCCAAGAGCATCCGGACGTCCGTAATTCTTTGCTTTTTATTGTCTTGTAATTGTCCTAACTCTAAACTTTATTACTCTAATTGTATTATTATTTTTATAATCATTTTATTATTATTAACCTTTAAAAATTTTAGAAACCAAGTGATGGACGTTTTTCACACTGATCATTGCCCAGGTGCTGATCATGGGGTTGTGACCGACCCTGTAAATTCCATCAAGGGATTGAACAACTCCGGATACAGAATTGTTCTCCCTCATCACAAAAAAAAAAAGGAAAATCTCATTAACCTATGGACTCTGAATGGAAGAAAGGACTGACTGCCGAAATCTTTGCCTCAGGTGGAATTTTCCCTATAAAATCCGCTTGTGCCAGGATGGAGGTGTGTGGGTATGGGGGAAATCTCTGCTGAGGCTGACTCCTTGTTGCACCCCGGGCTCAGCACTGTTCTTTCCTTGTGGCTGGCTAGACAGAATTTAACTGCAAAATCAGTATTTTATTTTTTCATTTTAACTTGGCTGGACAAATTTTAATTTATAACAGATATAATGGAAATCCTCAGGTAGATCCATGTGAACGCAGCGTTCCCGTAAACTTCATCAAGGGATTCACCAACTCCGGACACGGAATTGTTCTCCCTCATCACCAAAAAAAAAAGAAAATCTCATTAACCTATGGACTCTGAATGGAAGAAAGGACTGACTGCCGAAATCTTGACCTCAGGTGGAATTTTCCCTATAAAAACCGCTTGTGCCAGGATGGAGGTGTGTGGGCATGGGGGAAATCTCTGCTGAGGCTGACTCCTTGTTGCCCACCCAAGGCTGACCCCGGGCTCGGCTCTGTTCTTTCCTTGTGGCTGGCCAGACAGAATTTGATTGCAAATAAATATTTTAATTTTTTCATTTTAATTCGGCCGGACAAATTTCCCTTTGTAACACAGCGGAGGCGGCGGGGCCCGCGCCGCGAGGGCGCGGCCGAGGCTCTGAGGGAGCCGCCGCCATCTTTCCCCCTCAGCCACGGCGCGGGCTGCGGGAGCAGCCGCCGAGCGCCGAGGAGGCAGCGGAGGCGGCCGGTGCCGCTCGGTGGCGGCGGCAGAGCGGAGCTGCTGGCGCGGAGAGCCAGCACGCTGTCGCAAAGCGGGGACGCACCGCCGGCAAAGCAAAGCCGGAGGCGGCCCCGCCGCCATCTTCGCTCCCCCTCAGGCGCCGCCGCCATCTTTGTTTGTGCCCCCGAGAGGCGGGAACGCGGCCGGAGGGGCGGTGGGCGTGGCTCGGCAGGCCACGCCCCTCCCGCGCTGTGGGCGGGCCCGGCGGGCGGGGTCACATGACCGCGGCCCGTGCGCAGCCGGAGCCAACATGGCGGCGGCGGCGGGCGCTGGGGCCGCCGCGCTCGGCGCCGCTCGCCTTTAGGGGCCGCCGAACACCTCCCCGAGCGCCCCGAGCCCCGCCGCGTCCGACATGAGGGAGAAGGGCCGCAAGAAGAAGGGCAGGACCTGGGCAGAGGCCGCCCGGACGGTGCGCGGGGGGGGCGGCGGGGCGGGTCGGAGGCCGCGGGGCGGGCCGGGCGCTCCCGGGGGGTGGCGGCGGGGCGGCCTCGGCCTCCGACCTGGCCCTGCAGGGCCGCGGGTGTGTTTTGACCTGGGCTCCGGTCGCTCCGTGCTTCCCGGCAGGGATTTCCCCGGGAAGCGGCGTGGGGGAGGGATTGGCGCTTGGGTTTGCTCTGGCGAGCGGGGGGAAGGCACAGGCGCGGCCGGGTGAGCGGCACCGGGGATTTGCGGTGTTTGCGGTGGTGTGGCCGTGCCTTCCGTGCAGCTGGACGCGGTCAGGTGCCAGCTGCACATCCTGAAAGGCGATTTTTATCTCCCGGTTTCCCGGCGGGACCGGGTTCCGTGCTGTCCTGTCGCCTGGCTGGCAGTCCCGGTGTGCGCCGGGCACGGAGGGTGGGGAAAAGGGAAGTTGGGAAGCGGGACAGGAATGAGAGAGGAAACGCCACAAGCGCGACCCTGCTGAAACTCCTCTTTCCCAGGTCGGGATAAATCCCCCTCACGGAGAGAGGGAGGAGCTGGGGTTCTGAGAACCCTCCTGGAAGAGGGATCTGTTCAAACAAGACTTGAAAAGTCTGGCTGGGAAGCAAATGTAAATAGAAACCTGCGGCTGAGACTTGCAAGGGATATTTTAATAAATAAATTCATGTGGACCTCGTGTTTACGGCTTGAAAGGCATCAGAAGAGCTGCTGTGTTCAGCAGATGCAGTGCAGTTAGAGGTGTTTAAGAAATAACTTACTGGCTTGCAGGCAGGCACTTTGCTGTCACTCTGGATGTGTTTTTGTGTATCATTTTAACAGTTGCTTTTGAAAGAGCAGTGGCAGGGTCTCCAGTGGAGGGTAGAGGTGGGATCAGCTCTTTTGCAGCCTCTGTGCACTGCTGTCCATCCTCTGAGCCCTTCCAGAATCCACCTAAGGGCTGAACCAGGTATTCTGCCCTCTCACCCCTGCAGGCTGCACGCTGCCCAGAGCCGGGGCACAGGCTGGCACAGGGGGGAAAGGATGGGCAAATCCCTGCCAAAACCCCGCCTTTGGCACGTCTGTGTGCCCAGCAGGAATGCCAGAGGACTCTGGTCAAACTGCAGCTCCAGTCTTTTGCTGAGTTTTGGGGCAGAAATCGTGGCTGGGGTTCTTGCTGTGTGCTGGGGTTTTTGGAGGGAAGGTTGTACAGCTGTGCTAAGGAAGGTAAAAGCTCTCAGGTGCCTTGTCCTGCTTTTGGAAGGTGACATAAAACTGTCCCCGAGCTCAGGAGTGGCTCCAGGTGTCCCCTCTGTGTGGAGGTTCCCTCCCTGAGCTCTGAGCTGGCTCTGGGGTGACCCCAAGAGTCACTGAGCTGCAGGGCTGGGCCTGGGGCTCTGCCTGTCACAGGATCAGAGTTCCCAGCTCCCTCAGGAACTCTCCAGCCCCTTCCCAGCTCCCCCAGGAACTCTCCAGCCCCTTCCCAGCTCCTCAGGAACTCTCCAGCCCCTTCCCAGCTCCTCAGGAACTCTCCAGCCCCTCCCCAGCTCCCTCAGCTGCTCCTCACAAAGATGACTCTCCAGGTGAGCTTGTCCTGGGAATCCCCCCAGCTCCCTGCAGACCTGCCCCAGGTCATCCCAGCTGGATTTTCTGGGGCAGGTCTGTACCTCTGTAGCTCCTGTGCCTCCTCTCCTGCTCTCTCACCTCTGCACTGGTGCTCACAGGTGGTTGAGGCAGCTAAACCAGCAAAACCATTGTTTTTATAATTAACTTCTGGTGCTGATCTCTTCCTGCTCCACTTTCATCCTCCTGGCCGGGAGTTTGGGGTTATGCGTCCTCCAGTTGTGGGGGGTCATGGCAATGCCCCGAGGTAATTTATTCTTGGATTAACTGAATCCACTGGAGCAGCTCAGAGGGGAGACATGGCAGGGAGGCCGTGGGAGCAGGGAATTCCTTGGAGCTGCAGCTGTGCTGCTGTGGGGAGGTGTGGGGCTGCTGAGTGGGGCAGCAGAGCAGCAGGAGGGGAGGCCAGGCTCCCTGGGAGGGCAGGAAGTCACTGTTGATAAACAGCCTGTTCTCATTTCCTGCCTTGCTCTGCAGCTGCACCGAGCTGGGAGCTGCTGCCCGGGCTGGGACAGGGCCTGGGGTCCCTGCAGCTCCAACCCCACCTGCAGCAGGGGAGGAGCTGCTGCTGCTGCTGGGAGTGCAGGGCGAGAGCAGCACTCAGTGTGTGTTCAGGCCCTGCTGGTGCTGGAGCTGTGCCAGGCTCGGCTGTGATCCTGCACCCAGGGCTGTGCCAGGCTGTGTGTGCACAGCCAGGGGGTTGCCAGGGCTGTGCCCGAGCTCAGGGCCCTGCTCTGGCAGCCCGGGGTCATCAGAGAGCTGGCACTGCTGCCTGCTCACCCCGTGCTGGCAGGGAGAG